CGGCAGAGCATCTTTGGTTTGTCTGTTCTACGCAAGGCGTATTTCCTGTGATCATCCCTCCCCCGCCCTGCCCCTCGCCTTACGGCTCCTCTTAAGGAGCAGCCGCCTAGGCGGGATCCCGGCGGCAGTGAATGCGAGCCTAGGGGCTCGTCTGCCCCCACTTGGGGCTGGGGGTCTAACAGTTTGGGCAGGGGTCCTAGCAGCTGGGATTCTGGATCTAGGAGTTGGGCTTGGGAGTCAAGCAACTGATGGTCCAGGGTCCCTAAAGACTGGAGGCCCAGGGGCTCAGCAAGGGGTTCCAGGGACTGGAGGGATAGTGATTCCGACAAAGGCTCTAGGCTCTGGAGCTCGAGAGGCTCAAGGCTCTGTAGTCCCAAGGGTGCAGGCAAGGGCTCCACAGTCTGCAAGGCCAGCGGCTCTGGAGGAGGCTCTAGAGACTTGGAGTCTACTAGCTGAGGCCGGTGTTCCAGGGTCTGGGAACCCATTAATTGGGATCTTGACTCAAGATCCTGGCTTTGGAGCAACTCGGGCTGGGACTCTGGATGCTGCTGGTCTAGCAACTGGGGACCTGGGCATGCCAACGAAGCCAGTTCACTCAGGATATCTGTATCGGCCAGCTCAGTATAATCGGTAGTATCAGATGCTGAGCTGCTCACTTCGTCCAAGATGCTGGGAGCCTTCAGACCGGGACTACTCTGGCAGGTATCGTCTTGAGTACTTTGGGGCCCCTCTTCTGACTCTCCCGTATACAGGTCAGGTTGGGTCTGTTGAGGCAGCTCAGCTTTAGCGCCGCCTGGCGCTGCTAGCTCCTCAGGGCTACGAATGCTGTTGGCCAACACCGGGGAGGAATAGAAGCTGTACTGCAGACCCTGATCCGGGCCTTCCTCACTGAGCGGAGGGTGGCTGTTGAGCTGTAGGTTGCTGCAGTCCAGGTGAACCCCACAGCTCTTCAGGTCTTGGGAGAGGCGGTTGATGTCCTTCATGATATCTATGAGCTGCACCACAGGATAGAGGTTGATGCGGCCATTGCCACACTTGCTCTTCAGCAGCGAGATAATGTTGTCAATGTTGTACCTTCCTGAGGCCAGAGTGAAGTTGGAGAAGGTCTTGGCAGCTCTGTCATGGGTGGCTGTCTCATCCAAGCCCTGAGCATCAACAGGGCAGCCCAGGACACTGGCCGGCAGCAAGCTCTCTGTCTTGGTGCTGCCCTGGGTATGAAGGCCCTTGGACCGCTCCGCCGTCTCAGTATGACGCAGCGAGCTGGATTTGTGCTCCCTGCCTAACTTGGAGCAAGAGCCTTCTGGAAAGCTGAGCATTCCAAACGACAAGGCTTTCTCTGCCAGACACGACGATGCTTTCGGACTTGGGTGGCCGGCCTGGTAAAACTTCGGCTCTTGCGAGAAATCTGAAGAATTGTGTACGGTGCCTCCGGTTGGCGGTGCCAGTGGGCCCTGCGCTTTCAGGCGCCTCTTTAGTTCATCCTCACCGGCATGCCTTTTGGCAGAGCAGTTGCTGGGGTGGATGTCGGCAAAGGCGGAGCCAGGACCTGGAAAAAAAGCAAGAGAGAGATGCTAAGCTTCTTTACGGCAGCTGCAGAAACGTGTATTGGACTAAAGGATATGACAGCAGTCACTTCTGAGCATCCTGAGCACTATACACGTTTCTGCGGGATAATCCCTGATGTCAGTAGTAAGAACCAGGTTGCAAGACGACGACAACAAAATACCTCCACCCCAACCCCATACATCTTCCCAACACTGGAAGTTGCTAGGTGTCCACTTCCAGTTTTGATTTCTGTGGGGCACATGGGAGGGAGCTTGTGACACACACACACACACACACACACGCCACTCCTGGAGGCTTCTGGGAACAGAAAAATCCAAGATTTATCTTTTTCTTTCTCAGAGAAGGGAGGGCATGAGAAGATTTCACAGTGTTCTAAAATAATAACTTGGGGGGGAATGTGGGGCATAAGCTGCACTCTGTCCACCTGTTTTACATTATAACGTGTTATGAGTAACCAACAAGCACTACTACAAGCAGCCTCCCCATGTCAGATTCCCCCCCCCTTTTTTTTCTGCAATGGAAAAACACACCACGGAGTGATGTCACCCCTGGGAACATTTCTCTGTCCCTGATCTGCCTCTGTGGTCAGAAAGCACACTGTAGAAAGGAAAACAACTCAATAGAGGGATCCACAAAAAAACAGCAACCCATCTCGAATTCTCCCTGTCCCCCTTTCCTGCCACAGCACGGAAGATCCTGATACAGGAGTGTCGTTTTAGCAGCATCCCAGAGCCATGAGTAACATCTAATTCTAGCTGCCTGCAACGAGGGCTGTAACTGGATTTTAAGAGTGTGGTTTTATGTGGCCGGTGATGTGGCTGATCCACCCCCTTGCTGGTGGTGTTCATGCAGGAAGAGAAGTGGGTGTAAATTCTACCTCCTCTGGCCAACGGAGACCAGGCTGTCCTCTGCATCTCGTTTTTTTTTTAGCCACAGTGAAAGCAAAGGCATTGGGGATTTGTTGTCAGCCAGAGGTGATGGACCTTTTCAAATGCTGTTGATCTTCCCAAAGCAACTCACAGATGCTGTGTCCCAAGCAAGCAATCCCACCAAGAGAACGGTGGGTTCCCCCCACCAAGAGCAGCACTCTGAGTACTAAATCTAAAGGCCCAGCTAAATGGGAAAGTCTTTAGCAACAGCAAAGAACCGTAGAGGACACAAGTGGCTGCACTGCTGTTGGAGAGATTTTTGTCATATGTGAAACATCCTCTTCCCCCTGCCTCTGGGGAAAAAAACTATTCCCCATGGAAGAGCTTCTTTTTCATTATTGATTTAGCAGCTTCATGCTTCTTCTTCTCTCTCTCCACCCCTGGAAAATCTCTTACAGTGGACAATAAAAGCCTGTTATTCCCTTGCAAAGCAAGGCTGTTGTGGGGCTGAAGGCTGCCGCCAAGGGCATCGGATAGTATTCTAATGCCCGGTAGAGATTCCGGTTGGGAGTTGCCCCTTTCTCATTGCCAAAGAAGAAAACTCCTTGGTAGGGCAGGGCTGGGGAACTGATGACCTTCCAGATGTTGGTAAATGAGTCTCATCACTCGTCTCCACAAGGCTGACCCAGTTAGGCTGTTGCACACCTACAGCTCAGTGCGAAGGGTACAGAAAACCGTAGGTTCAGTTCTCACCATCACCCAACTCAAAGGGTGAGGAAGAGTGTCAGGTAGAAAAATATTCAATTAGATGCATCAATTGGCCTTAGACAGCTTCCTCCGTTCCAAAGAGAGATGTTGGGAGTTAAGAGTCCAGCAACATCCTCAGAGTTACAGGTTATCCAGTCCTGCTGTAAGGGGAGTAGCCAAGGAAACTTCAGGCCAAAGAAGATAAACTGACATTTCCCTGATCCCGATGAAAACCTTCAGGTTGGTTTACTTAATGGTCTGGCTGAGTAGCAGCAACCAATGTTCTCAATGCACTTGTTTCTCTGCATCACAGGACCTAATTTTGATCCAGTATCTGTTTTTTAATGTGACAAAGGAGAAGATGCTTGATGTGCCTTACACTTGGTGTGTGTGTGTATGTGTATCAAAATATGGCCTTGTGTTTAGTCAAAATGCACCCTAAATGCATTGTAGTCTACACCCACAAGTCCTCCATATCTTTTATCAATGCCAACCAGAAGTATCCTTGCTAGAAAGCAAGGTGAAGTGGATTACGAGTGCCTTTGAGGGTAACGAAGTGGGAAGCAAACAGATTAGATGAACTAGTGGGCACCGTCTACCTGGCACCATAGAAACAACTGACAAGCCATACAAGAGCAACATCCTCCTCCTGCCTGTTGTGCTCTTGTGTAGACCCTCCCCCCCATTTGTTTACACAGGGTCACGTCCCATGTCAAATAATCAGAATGGTTATGCCATTTTGGTTTTGTACAGTAGGCATCATGATAACTTCTTGAATACGGTGGCATCATTTTTATGTACATCAGGCGTGAGTGATGTGGGAGGGAGAGTCAGTTTGCATTTTGGCTGGCAGCCTGGGGTGCACCCACCAAAAGATGCCAAAAATTGAGGATGGGTTGGCAAGTGATGTTAGGTGACAGCTTTGCCTAGTCACTGGTTACCTTCTTTAATTTTTAAAAGCCACATGTATGCCCCACAACAACAGCACTGGGCAGCCATGGACGAATAGTTCCCAACCTTAGATTACCCAGATGTTTTTGGACTGAAGTTCCCAGAAGGTTTCACCATCAGCTGTGCTGCCCAGGGTTTCTGGGAATTGCAGTCTAAGAACACCCAGGTGACCCAAGGTTGGGAACCAGGGGGTCTCGAGCATCTGATGGCTTCCCAGGATTTGGTGTATGCACAGAAACTGCCCCCTCCTGCCTGAGAATGCTGCATAAATACAAAAGGGCCCAGACTGCTGATCAGGCACTACATTTCTATACCTGAGCACAACAGCTATTTCAGGCTATGGAATTCTGTTCCAAGGAAGGCTACGTTGGCCTCTTCCCAGTTGCCCTTCCAAAAGCAAGCAAAGACATTTTAAACCCGTACATGATTTCAGCAAAGAGTGGTGTCGAAGATACTTTTAATGGATTGGTGCTGCAAATTTTTACCATTACATATTTGTTTAATAATGCTAAATAACTGCGTGCCATCAGGTCAATTTTGACTTATGGCAACCCTTTCCAGGGCTTTCTAGGCAGAGAAGAGTTTAAAGTGATTTACCATTCCCTTCCGAAGAAGGCGCCCTGGGACTGCACAGCTTACCCATGGCTACGCAGGCTGCATCTTTTGCCAGGAGACACATTAGGGAATCAAACTCCCAACTACTGAGCTATCCAGCCAGCTCTAGTTCTGAGAGGAAGCTGGGATATAATGAATACAAATAATGTTAGTTGTTACTGCTACAACTAGACATGGACACTTCCTATTCATATCCCCTGGGAAGCACAGCACCACAAGTGCCACAGAAGTCTGATCCCTCCCCTAGAACCAGCCGGTTGGTCGCTGCATGGTGCATGCGTCCCACATTGCATCAATCACGGAAGGATCGTGGCCAGCACTTCTCCGCCTCCCTAGCCAGCCCTACTCAGTCTCGCCACTCAACAGCTGAGTGGGGAGACTCTTCACCCCGCCTTCTCACTGGAGTGGTTAGATGCGTGGGGAGATGGGGAAGCACTGTCTAGGCTACTTCCACGATTGGTGTGATGTTGACGACGATGGATGCATGCACTGCGCAGGGACCAATGAGTGGACCGGCTCATTCTGGAGGGAGGGAACAGATCTCTTTGTATTCATATTCCCAAGGATATGAATGTGAAGTGCCCATGGCTAGTTACAACTCACCTAGGTTGGGTGTCCTTTGGGAAAATGGATTCTGGTTTTTCCTCCCTGGGGTTGGGGGCGGGCGGAAAGGCAGCCCCCTGGGGTCAGTATTTGTGCTATGGTCCACTAATCCTGCTCCAGTTCAGAAGAGCTCCAGTTGATTTTAAGTAGTGACGGGTCAAGTGTTGTTGTGAGAAGAGGAATAGGATGATGTGGCTGTATTCCAGAAGGCGTAAACGAGAGTCCCTCCAGGGCTTGTGTCATCGGTAAGCAGGTAGCCTAAATAGACTGCAGTGTTGGAAAGGAGAATTGCCTCACTCGTCCCTAACAGGTAAGGCTGCCAAGACTCAATGTGCTGAAATGTCAAGGAATTATTATGCCTCTGTGGGTCTCCAGGTGTGAAACCAATCTCAGGATGAGCTGCACTGGAAAAAGGGGAAGTCTGGGTTTTTTGTGGGTTATACGACCATTGCTAGTGGGAATGTCAGCAACCACTTTAACTGCTGGGTTCATTTTGCTACTTGTCCAGTCATCCCCAAAGCGGCTCTTTTGCCTCAGACCTGGGACGGTAACTTTCCTTTTTAGTAAGGCTTCATACAGATTCTGGGACTTTTTATCCAGATTTTCCCCTCTTCGGGGATTCCACAATCAGCTGGCCCAGAAACAGTTCCACCTTCACTCCCAACCACTGTCTGTCTTGCCTCTGTGATATCACAAGAATATTCCACCCCACACCCAGTCTCTGGGCTTGGCCCTCAGTCTCAGAGGATGGGATGCTATTGACCCGACAACCCTACTAATGAGGGAGCACATGAGATTCAAAGTATGTCTGTGACAAGTACCTGATTATATTTCTCAGCAGCAATGTGGTGCTATTCGAGAAAACAGCAACCCATCGCCTCTCTCCCCACCCGGAAACCCCACTAAAAAGGATTTGAGTGCTGAGAAAACGCTCTTCCCAAGATAAATGAAAACTGTGCAAACGGCATGTTGTGCAGGAAAGCAATGTGCATTTCTTGCATGACAAATGGACTATGCAGAAGGGCCCCTGAGCCTCCCTCACGCTTGTTTCTTCCACTGCTGCCTCGCAAGGGAAGCACAACAGGCACATTATCCAACTCACCTTCTGTTCTGCTGCTCCTGCTGTTACACTTCAGTTCTCTACAGGAAAAGAAAGAAGGGAGGAAAGGTGAGTTTTGCCTGGAGAACAGTCACACACACCCAGCCCTGATTGTCAGTGGTTTGGCCCGGTCTTTCAAGAGCCTCTTGCCGAATGTCTCCCACATCCATGAGTCATCATCTCCAGCTGAGGGCATGGTCACACAGTCCCATAGCTGGGCAAAGAGCACCTTAATTTTCTGCTAGCCCTGCTCTGTGTATGCCAGAGAAATGACGTGCTGATTATTTGGGGGGGCTGCAAAGCCTGGAATCCTACAGCCAACACAGGGAGTTGAAGCCCAACAAAGAAATGTTTCCTTTTCTGGTATACGCAAATCCACAGGGGTGCAAACGATAGTCCAAAGCAAGACGAGAGAACAGGCAGCCCCTCCAGATGTCGTTTGGATTGCATCACAATTGGCAATGCGGGTTGCGGCTGGCAGGAACTGCAGTTATCTGGAGGGGCACATAATCTAGAACAAGTTAGGGTTAGGGTTCATTCCCATCTTCTTCGCTGCTTCTAGAAATACTATAGCATTACTGTGTGATGCAAATTCTAGGAGGCTAAATTGGCCCCTAATTCAAAGTGAGAGATTAAGCAGAAGCAAGGTGTAGAGAGAAAAGCTCAGAGAGTTGCAGGATCATATTGTATGTAGGCAAACACTGAAAGAAGGTCATTTTCTCATAGTCGAAACAACTGTTTAGCAACATAGACTTGCATTATAAATATATATATATACAGATTCTGGGACTATTATTTAATTTCAAAGTAGGGGCCGAGTGCTTTGAGTTTGATCGGGACGGCTATTATTAGGAAGGCAACGTTTCACCATTTAATCCCCACTCTGATTTTTCCCCAAATCTAAGTATCTCATCAAAAGCGACTTACCCACAGTGGGGCACAGAGTAATACTGGCACCACACAGCTATTTTTTCTCTCTCTCCTGTCAAACTAATCGTAGTGTGTGAGTGGAGAGGAATTATTTAGATCGGAGAAATAGACAGAAGGGGCAGTGCGAATGCCCATCTTTCCTATATCTTGACTCTGAGGCCAGATAGTCACAAACAGGTCACGGCAAAATTCCACTACAATGGAAATGTAGAAGAAAACATGCTCTCCAAATGCTGTTTTGCCTCCTGAGGATTTAAACACTACTGTAGGCTTACTCTGAAGTAAATGATCTCAGGTTCAAAGGGGCTTAATTTCTCATAAGCATGTTTTAGGGCTGCAGTCGTTTCTCTTATCACTCTACTTGTATTTACTTTCAGGACAGTTAAAGAAAAAAAATTAAAATAAAGTAACTAGCACATTGATTTCTCTGAGATACTGTACCAAGGAAACAATAAGCAGGAATTAAACAGATATAGCTCTGCCCCCACCCTCACCCCCACCTCATAGCTTCAGTCTTGGAAGCACTGGCTTTTTTCAATTTCAATTTGCAATTTATCTAGTAAAGGCATGGAGACACTTTGAGGCCATGAAGAGGTGTAGCTCCAGAGGGAAGCATTTGTCACATTCACTCTTTCCGTGCACATCGGGACTATGTGAAATGAGGCTGGCAGGTATTTTAGATTTACTGTATAACAAAAAGTAAAAGAGCATCTTGTGTGAGCCACCTCTGGCGAAAGGGTCTTGTGGTCACATCTCCACTAGGTGTCCCTAATGAGCTACAGATCCCCTTCCACACATCCCTGTCTGTGAAACAGTTAAAACCCCCTCCCAAAGTTATTCCCACTTTCTGTTTAAACTTTTTGACCTGGCTGTGCTACTTCTCTGGCCTGACAAAAAGCCTCCTTTGTGTACTTCCCTTTCTGTGAGACAGACAAGCCAAAAGCAGGCTGAGGAAACAAGCACCTGGCACTAAGGCTTTAAAAAATGTATTAGTTACACAGTGTGTGTGTGTGGGGGGGGGCTTGGGTCTAGAAGGAAGGAAGGAAGGGGCGAAGGACAGACCGACCGACCGATGGAGAGAAGGAGAGGCCCTGCAAGAGAGGCTGGCAATTCTTTGTCTTCAACTTTTTCCTCCAGCAGAGAGTGGGAGCCGAAGTGAAAAATTCTCCATTCCGGTCTAGACGCGAAGAGAGCAGCTTCGCATTTAAACCTGCAGGACTCCCCCTTTGATGCTTTGTTTACAGGATCATCATCTTTTAATGTACCAACAGCGGGTAACATTTCAAGGAGTCCTGCGGCCACCTTAGGACACGGCTGGCAAGATCCTTCTTTAGGCAGGCTGGGTCCTGCTAGGTAATTTGCTTACCCTGAGATGATAGCTTGGGGAAGATACAACCCCTCGCATTCCTCTGTCGGCTCAGACATGCTGTAACCCTTCAGCATCCTCGGACAAACTAGGCAGAAGCCGTTGTACTTGGCGGGGCAGAAAGCACAGCAATCAAGAGCCAGGGCATATGCGGGCATACACACAGAGGCATGGATGTGGTCACCCCCCCCATCCTATTAGTCAATGAAAACCAACGCAACTGAGGAAAAAAACATCAATAACAAAAATACACCTTGCCTGTAGATTAGAACGGTCACTGAGATGCGCTCTCACCCCCCCATCCTATTAGTCAATGAAAACAACGCAACTGAGGGGAAAAATCAACAACAAAAATACACCTTGCCTGTAGATTAGAAACATCCCCTCCCACCCTGTCCATCCCCTTCCAGGTACACAGAGAATGAGGCTTTGGAATTCAGCAGGGGAGACATACAGGTGGGCCCCTGACCTGGGGAAGGAGGCAAGCAAGAGTGGGCCAGATGGACGTTACCCAAGCCTGAGGTGGGGCAAGGTCAGATTTGCCCTAATGGACCAGCCTCCACTATGTATGTGTACATACAGTCTATGGATATTAGCATAGCTGAGCTCCAGTGGGCCCAACTGAGAAATCTTCACCCCATTCTGGATTCGTCCTTAAGGCTTATTGCTGAGAGGAACTCTGTTTCGGTGTGTCCCCCCCCAAAAAAGGGGGGGACACTGGTAGAACGGGAAGAGAGTGCTAACCCCATCGCCTGCCTGTCTGAAGAGGATGATTCTGCACCAGATGGAGTCTCTTCGCAGCATTGGGGATCCTGAAAAATCAGGATTTCCAACATCGCAAGCTCTAAATGTAACAGACTGGCTTTTCTTCAGACTGTCTTCCTTCACCTGGAGACAACACAGGGGGCAAGGCTCAAATTCCCTCTCTTCATGCTGTTTTGAACCCTTGAATTGGGCTACTACCTGTGGCTGTGACGCTTCAGACTCAGGCTTATATGACAGAATGCTTCTTAACCTAAAACACTCCTTGGCACTGGAAACGTAGTCTGTCTATGCCTACAGATCCTCTTGCTTTGTGCTTTCCCATGGACAGTGAGTTTTGTACTGAAGAACACCAGTTGTTTCACTCTCTGGTGGCACAATCTAGTCCTGTTGGTCTCCTCAGCGGGGAATCTCTGCCTCAGAATGTGAGCCGGATCCATCAGAAAGAAATCTGAGAAAGAAATCTGACCAAGGACATGTATGCTTGCATATTGGATCCAGAGCACTGAATTTTGAATGTTCTTGTAAACATTCGAAATTTGTCTTTCTTCATTTGAAGTTTAGTGTTTTGTCAAAGTTAACAATCGCTGTTGCAAATCTTTATTTATTTCTGGCCCCACAGCATTATGATTATTTGAGATTACGGCATGATCCGAAACTTGCCTCAAGTTAAGATTACATATTATGATAATTTTGGATTGGAATTATCACAAATCCCCAGCCGGAATGCCCATATCTTCCCCAGATGTTGCCTTTATGTTCTCATGTCTTGTTGCCGCCTAAGACATGGTTAGGCAGTCTTCTGTCCACCATCTACTTTATGCCTGCTGTATAGTGGGACTACAATTCTCACAACAAAACAATGGAAGACATTGTCGTGTTGCATCTAGTCAACTACGAGTACAGTGGACCCTCGACTTACAGACGGCTCGACTTACAGACTTTTCGAGTTACAGACTTCTCTGGCTGCAAAATTTAGATTCGACTTGCAGCCAGAGAATCGACTTACAGACCAGGAAAAAAACCAAAATGGAATAAAAATAGAATAAAAACCACTGGTTATGGGATTAATCGGTTTTCAGTGCATTGTAGGTCAATGGAGATTCGACTTACAGACTTTTCGACTTGCAGCCACCATTCCAATACAGATTAATTCCTTAAGTAGAGGGTCCACTGTACCTGAGTGGCTGTCAACCGATAACTCAAGCCTAAGAATCTGCCAGATAAAATATAAAGATTATTTAATTTGGAAAGCATCAGAGGAATTTGCCTTATATTTGTTGAGGTCATTTGTCCATCTAACACAGCATTAAGACCTCTGACTGGCAACAACTCTCAGATAGTCTGAGACAGAGGGCCTTTTCCATTGCCGCAGTTCCATCCTTTTCAGGTGTACATGGAAAGTCAATGAAAGTGGGATTTTCTCCATACAAAGCCAGTGTTCTGTCACTGTAAATGCACAAAGCTGGAGTCCACTGCTAAAGATACTTGTGGGGCTCGAAATAAATAAAGATTTGTGGCAGCAATACTGTTAATTTTAACCAAGCACTAAACTTTAAATAAGACTTTAGCAATTTACGATTTTGTAACAGATGTTTCTACACAGCAGTATTTTTCCCATAAAAAGGACAACGTCTTGAACTGTTATGGCTCAGATGTGTTATAAATAAATATAAACAGATGACATAAGAGAGACAATTTTGCCATGAGGTATGTGTCACATACCTATAACTGTAGGGCAAATAGAACAGGTAAGATCCTCCTTCATTCCCCCTCCTACCCATTTCTTACTAGTCCTTTCTTCTTTTTCTTTGCCCATCCATCCATCAAAGAATTCGATGCACCATATTGTGATTCTGTGTGATCCTTTTGTGAAAATCTCGTGGGGCATTCAGTGCATCTACAATTAGAGAAGGACCCAGCCTTCTGAGCCAGCGCTGAAAAATTCTGAGAGCTGTAATCCAAAAAAAGTAGCTTTTCCAA